AAAAAAAAACAAAACAAAACAAAAACAAAAAAAAAATCATTTTTTATTTGTGCCCGTTGGGGAAAACGGACCCGGAGCCCGGTCAGTGCAGAAGGACAGACGGCAAAAAATGGCGGTGCTCGAAGGACGCTTGCCGAGAGTCTAAGTACTGCGAACGCTACATGCACAGAGACAAAAACCATTGAAGAAAGCATGTGGAAATTGAGTCTTCATGTCAACACCTGAAAAAAGTGCTGATATGTTTTCTTCAGTGCCTTCAGAAGAAGGCTTTGTTTGCAGCAACCATTTCTCCTCAACGAGGTCTCATGGAATGATTGGGTTCTCCTCTTCACAAGAGTACAATGATTTTAGTCTTTCACCAAACAGAGCTTACAGGTTGGTGTTTTCATTCTTTTTTTTTTTTGGTTTAATTTATAGCTAGTTTGGTAGCTAATTCTATGTTTTGAGGTTGAAACTTGCATCAAAATTTTGTGAGAGATAGTCTAGTGTAACAGTTAAGCATGTCAAACCGCCATACTATTTGAACAGAACTGCATACTGATACTATCAAATGTCATACTTTTGTTTACGTTGTTGTTTACATCTTTTTTACAGAAGTATGACATTTTTAAGTGGAAGTATCGATGTTTATTAAAAAAGATTATGATGGCCTAATAATTAGAGCAACCCAACACATTGCTATAGTTTAGAGTTCAAATGCATAAAAGCACATGAATTCGTTTATGAAGCAGTCTAACCGTTGGACGGGTGAACTCGTCATACTTTTAAACAATAGGTGCAATAGTACTTAAAGCATTATTATTCTTGTATTTTCATTGTTATTATTTCGGTGGGCGAATATTGATAAGGTTGTTGCAAGTGCAGAAAAATCCTTGAAGATGGAATAAACAGAGAATCGGAAGCTTATTGTCCTTCTTATTTACAAAATTTATTATCCATCCACTATTTATATCTATAAATCATTGTTTTTAAACCCGGTCGAAAATAGACCCAGGCAGGTCTCCGGGTCACCGGTTCAACCGTCGGGTCACCGGGTCAATTGTTGAACCGAATAATTAATTTTAAAATTATTAAAATTATATATAGTATTGAATCTCACAATAAATATTGAATCTCAAAATAAATAAGTGTTAATAATATTGAATCTCACAATAAATATTTACTATGTCATTATATAAACATAGTTTTTATTTTTTATATAAAAAAATATAAAAATAAAAATAAAAAATTTATAGAGACCGGGTCAACTGGGTTGATCCGGCCTGGTCAATGACTTGGGTCGACCGGGTTGGCCGGGTTTTGACCATGTCCATTGTTACCCGGTCCTAATAACCCACTCGGACCAGTTTCGGCTCCGAGTCGACCCGTCGGACCGGTCCAGGTCACAAAACAATACTATAAATCATTATTTTAATATTTTACTGTCATGTCATAATTAATTGTTACCTTTATATAAAGTTATTTTACATTTAAAATATTATTATATGTTTTATCCACCAACTTTATTTCACCAACAAAAATATTTTAGTTAAGGGTATATATTTACTTCAAATTCTTAAAGATTTGTTGGGACTTTAAAAAACTTAATATACTTAATTGATTTTCTTAAGATTTTTAAAAATCTTGAAATATTCAACTGACATTTTTAAAAGTATTAACAAATCACGAGTTACTTAACTTTATTTATTTGACATTGAGCTAAAACTTTTTACGATTTACTGAATTTTCGTAAATAAACATTTTACTGAATTTTAATAAACAAAAATTTCACAAACAAAAATATCACACAAAATATCATCCCAAATACCACATTTTACACTTGAGATTTTCAAATATTCCTTTTTAAGTCTTTAAATCTTTAAAGGTTTAAATCTCAAAAAATCTTAAAATATTTCTCGAAATCTCAAATGAATACACAATCCACCCTCGCAGCTCTATTGTTTTCTATAACAGTCAATATTTTTACCTGATATTAAAACTTGTATTTTTATGTCTTGTTCTTGAAGTGTTATTGAGAGAACATAATCGCACCACATTCTGATACGACTTCAAATATGTTTTTCTTCTTTCACGTATACGCTAAGTTTGATTCTTAAAAAAAGTTTCATTCTTTCAATCCAACTACAACAAAATCTGACATCACACAAAAGCTTAGCACAAAAATCTCTATGTTTTAGCTTTCTCACCAGTACGCTAAAAGCATATGCGAGAGCTCTAAGCACCTTAGCAACCCACCAATGGTTTGTGAACGAAGTCTTTAGAGCGCTGGCATTTTCATTCTTCATCATCAGGCGCGCCACCTCCATCGCTCTCCTGCATATCGACATCATGGCCGGGCTCGGGCTGGGCCTCTTGCTCTGGATCGGGCTCTGGCTGCCTCCCTGCTCCCTCATCTTCTTCATCCGATTCCGACCAACCCCGTCTCCGTTTATTCGCATTCGAGGGAGCAGCCTTCACCAACAACCGAAGAGAGAAAACGAGACTATTAGAAAACAAATGAGAAAAGGAAAACGCAGCAAATAAGTTCAAAAAAATGAAGCTCTTTCCAACATTTTGAGAGAGGGAGAGGGAGAGGGAGAGGGAGAGGGAGAGGGAGAGAGAGAGAGAGAGAGAGAGAGAGAGAGAGAGAGAGTTACATCGTTATCCTCGGCATCAGAGTCCTCAAGGCCAGCTGCTGCAATAAAATCCTCAGCATCAGAATCCTCGAGTCCGGCGGCTGCAAGAACATCATGGGAAGGACCCTCTCTGTCATCACCCTCATTCGTACGATTGTAATGATCTTCAAACTCCATCTCCTCGTGATCCTCCACCTCAGCATCACCCCCATCAGATTCATACCGCTGTTTCTTATCCTTCCTCTTACGTTTTCCCCCTTTTCTCCTCCTCTTTTCACTGTGTCCACCCTCATCCTCATCATTCTGGGGTTTATCCCTGCGCTTCGAGCCCGAGCTGCTCTTCCATTGTTCCTAAACCACATAAAGCTCAATCAAGTTTTCTGGATATGATTTACAACATGACAAGAAATCACAAGAATATTGAATTCTGAATATAAGCACAATTCCTAGGTGGATAGCATAAAACCCACGAGTTCAAGAAATAATAGCACTTTCAACAAGGTAAAATTTGGGAGAGATTCCTTTCTTTAATGAAAAAAGTTCCCGAAAAGTAGCATAATATTGCAATTAGAAAAATTAATACCAGCCAGATAAAAGCTAGATAAAACCATTACCTTGATGCGCTCCAAATGCCTCTCTTGTTGCATGACTTGCTTCAATTCATCCTCCTGCTTTCTTTTCTCCATCTGCTTTCAAAAAATTTTGAGTAAATAAAGACAGTATAAATACTTTTAAGATATCAACTCAAATAAATAGCAGTCACTGATCACCTGAGCTTTTCTCTGCTCCTCGGCCTTTCTGCGGGTTTCATCCGCCAACTCCATCTGACGCAACACTTCCAATCTCTGCATATTCTGCAACTCTTCACGCTCGGCAAGCTCACAGTGGACAGTGGCTGCTTCAAGCAAATGCTTGCAGTAAGCAACGTGGGTTTCAATTTTCTTCTCATCAAACCCATGAAAGTGAAGGTTTGAAGCTGCAGAGAGCAGGCCAAACAAACGAACAGCATTTTTCAGCTCTGCCACAGTAGCTCGAACCTATCACATAAAATCTATATGTGAGTGAATGAGAGAGAGAGTGATCATTCACAAGTTACACAATGAAAATTAGGTAAATATCTTTCGACAGGAATAAATTGTTCCAAAGCTTCTGCTGAAATTTACGAGCAACAAAGTCATCAAATCGGAACCTAATCTTAGATCCACTACAATTGCATGAATGCAGAAAAGTTTTGCAATCTAAACAAAATTTGGTCATCAGAAATGAAGGCAACATGGGGGAGAATAGACCAATTAGTAATAAAAATGGAAGTACAAACCTTCAGTAGAGACAATAATGTGTGCCCTGACAATCAAACCTCTACTTCCGAACATGAAAAGTACAGTGGGCAGTTTAGCCATCCCCAAAAAATCTCCATTGAGTAGTATTTTAATTGATAAAGAGGCTTGACCTAGTGCACAGATGTTCACTACTCAACATTTTCTTGCAGGCTAAATGATTTCATATGGACAAAATTTAGGGAAAAAAAAAAGATGGAAATGATAATCCAAAACAAAGAGAACATTAGGATTGCTCCACAAAAGAAAATGGTTTCACAAATGTGAGAACATGCATAAACCAAAACAAAACATTAGGATTGCTGCCACACAGAGAAAAATGGTTTCACAAACGTGAGAACAAAAGTCATGTGGCCTTGTGATAATCAATTATGTCTAAGTTATTTAAACACCCATAGCATAATTTTGGTAATTCCAAGGTATCTAAAAATCAGAAAAACATGTGAACCACTGATCAATATTTTGTCTCTTTATCATGGTTATTTTCTCTTACAATTATGTCCCAGTGAAGTACTCAGGCAAACAAAAACCCCAACTCAAATTTGCATTAGTTGAGGTTGGGGCGGCAGTATAAAAGTTCTGTAACCCAACACTGAAATTGGATAAGCAAAAAGATGATGACCTCATCCACTGTCCTTTTTGTTTTTTGAAGTGTTGATGCTGAGAACTTCTGTAGGGTAACTCCAGCATCAAATCTTAATGTATAGTTTGAAGGAGCCAAGTGGATAGCTCTTAGCAGGGTCTTTTTACAGTCTTGCCACTGTTCAGCTTCATAATGCGTACGTGCCAAGTAGAGAAGCACTTGACTGTCGGTATTATTATAGAACTTACGCAGACAGTTTTGGTACTGCAAAAATGATCATGAAGTTCATAAGGGTGCATATGGTCAGGACAGGTTACATCATGATAAGAACAAATCAGTGATGGAAATTCTAGACTGACCATTTTTACAGCTAAAGTGAAATTTCCTTGAGCAAAGTGAACATGGGCCAAGTTAATCCACACATCTGGCATTTGGACATTAATACTTCCACTTGCAGCTTCTTGAACCTGAAGAAAAAGCGAAGAGGGTCAGTTTAACAAGTATAGATCTATCTATGATCATACAATTTAAAGCAAATCCTGCAAACCTGTGTGAAAAGATCCTTGGCTATATCAAATTGACCCTTTTCTGCAAATACCATACCAGCACCATTAGCTGCATAGAGGTTAGCAGACTGCTGAAGCAGAACCTGGAAGGACAAACCATATACATGTCAAAAAGAGTTTGGTCCTGCGTATAGACCAAAGTCCAGATGTAAGTAGCAAAAAAAAAGCACAAAGCCAAACTTGTTAAAGCAATACAAGGTTTCAGCTCAATAGACGACGTATATTGACAGTTAGCAAATGATATTCTCAAACTAAAAGATTCAGAACTGATGGAAGTAAATGTTGAAATTTCTATAGAGTCGCTTCGATAACGAGAAGGTAGCTCGCATACCTTAGTATATAGTTCCTTAGCCTTCTCATAATGTGTAGCTTCCAACTTGGGAGCTCTTTTCTCATTGCGATTGGCTGCAAAGTAGTTCCAATTTCCCTAATTGCCATCAATAAAAAGTGCATGAGATATTGAAATTCCAAGGTGACATTAATACTACAAACAATGGCAAGTGGAAACTCGACTACGAATAGCCCTGAATGTGACAGGATTCGAGTTTCCTGCAATTGCGATGCATAAAAAGGGGAAAAAGGCAGGGAACAGCAAACTGCCTTTACCGCGTAGCACCATTGTTCACCATAACTTTCAGAGCTAATAAATAATCCAAGACTATCTGAAAAAACCATGTACCAAACAAACGGAAGCATAATTATCTTTTGCATCAGTACAGTCTTTCGCTGTCCGAAAAGTTTCTTTCGCCTTGACCCAGTCATCATTCTTAAGTTCCAAGTCACCAAGCATTAACAAAGCATCTGGACATTTCTCATCCACCTTTAGCGCATCAGCAATCTATGACCAAAAAACAAGAAAAAAGAAAGATATAATGGAGAAAAATAAAGATTCAGATATAAGAATATGAGAGAAGCTTTCCAAGGAGATGTAGCAACCAGTTCGAGGCTAATCTGGACATTGTTTAGAGCTTTTGCGATGGCAGCAAGTCTCAAATAAGCATCAGTGTAGTCTGGATACTGAAATTGACAAAACGTCAGAAAATTTTGTGTGGAGTAAGTTCAAGCATAAACAAGTTGAAAACACTCTGGATGGATCATAAAGCATTATTCTTCAGAAATGTATCTGACATTGAGAAAACCTCCAGACTTTATCATGCACTGACTACTATTTTGATGACCCCAAAGTAGATTATGCTATCATTTAAAGAACTTTGCTACAAAACATGAGCAGAATTCCAACCAGTAGAGTGATATTCGTAAAACAAACACCCAAGATAAATTTGTAGTATTCAAGGGGGTATATGTAATTCGTCTTGGGTATTTGTTTTGCAAAAACAAAAGTTTGCAACTAGATCAAAATCTCCTTTTTTATGCACTCATCAATTTGAAGAACAAAGTTAACATACAGGCCACTCATGTTATCATGTTGCCATAAATACATAGAATGATCACAAAGTTTTCGTGCTTGTATCAAAATACAATTACCAAAATAAATGGAACAGTCACCCTTAATACCCACAGCAACCACTAACTACAGTGAAAATAGAAGTATTTGTACCTTAAACAATATCAGACGGTAGAGGATGCTGGCTCTTTCAGTGCTGTGAATCTGCTCCAGCACCCGAGCTAAATTAAATAATGATGTAACTTTACTCCAAGGAAGCTCCAAAGAAAAGCCCTGCTCCTCAAGGCGATGAAACACTTGAAAGTCCTTATATTGACTGATATTCGAGCTGGCATCAACAGGATATAGTGCATCATTAATTAGATTAGCTAGATTTCTATGACTGGAGCTAGTGCTCTCTAAGGATTCTCCTTCAGCTTCAGTAACACTACACCATATGCCCTCTCCTAGAGCTTCCTTAAAGGCCTCGCCAGCAAGCTGGAATACACATGACATTACACCATCAACATACAATAATTAATAAAAAAGTTAGAAACTATTCAGCCACCAGGACATATCCTACAGAAATAGCATCTAAAGAATCTTTTTAAACCTCAAACTCTCCTCGTTCAAAATGGAGAGCACCAATATTATTCAGCAGCTCCAGGGGTACTTCTTCATTCCCTCTTTTCAGCAAATTACGAGCCTGCAAAACAATAACATAATCATTGAATTGTAAGACTCAATCTAAACAGGCTGCACGACTTAATGCAGCAAGATAACAGCTAGTAGCATACAAAAAATTAGCTGAACCACCATCCACACAGTACATATTTGTCCTGTGTAGACATCACGATTGGCTGCTAGAATAAAATAGGTTTCCTAATGTTCTAATCAAGAAAAAGCTTGCTGCATTTTAAAAGAAGATACGGAATCATTTTAAAAAAGGATCAATACAGAAAGATATGACCAGGCACTACAAAAGAAACTACACAGAACAAGGATGCATGGAAACAATTAGAATAATTATTACACCATTATTAGTAAGTAATATCATATCCCCATGCATGCAGACATCTTCTACTCGTAGATGAATATATGAGGAAATGGAGACAGGACACTAATACTAAACTTGCACAGGACTTACAGTTTTGAAGGCCTCTAATGCAGCATTAATGTCTGTTGAGATCAACAGATCACCAAGATCCAAGAAAGCCTGTAAATATAAATGTCACAAGAAAGAAGATATAAGATTTTAGGAATGTAATCATTGAAGAGAACTTTTTAAGAACAAAATCTTATTAAGATGGATAAGATGACGTAAGAAGAAAATAAATTGTCCAAAGAGAAGTAATATTTTTTGCTAATGAACACCACTATATTGACTCCAATATGATCCATGTTAGCAAGTCCAGGCTTATAATATAAGTTATATAACGATTAACGAAGGGCCATAGGGCTGCAAATGAGCCAAGCCACTGGTAAGCTATTCAACCTCAACTCAATAAGAGCTCAGTTGATCTCATTTAATGAAGCTCGAGAAGACAAATAAACCAAACTCAAGAACTGTCAGCCACTTCCAAATCACGAGCTCATCCTGCCCTCACACCATCACTAGGAATCAGTAGCAAGGATCTGAGCCAACCTACTTACCTTTGATTTCCTCAGGTGGTCCATTAAATATTATAATAACAAAAATGGCAAGTTTTGTAATCCAAATTATATCACAACATTTATCTAATTTCCAAAGAGACAGTAATATGACATTTGTTCTATGCTTATGGAACCTGCTATTAATATTGGACTGCAGAGAAGAGTCTTCGGAAGACTGTAAACTCAACCTAAAACATTCTATCATTATATGCACCTTGAAAATCTTAAGAAGGATTCCAGCATCTAAATGCAGTTGAGTGTACCAAACCAAAATGGTGCATCATCCCCAAGGCCCAAAGTATGTTTCACTCACGACATTGAAAAATTGGTGGAGAATCCAATAACATACAGCATTTATGATATGGTTCCTTTATCATTGAAGCTTACTAACTCTACTAATGATTGTTTACCTTTTGTTACTCTATAAATAGTGATAAAATTTCGACAAAATGATGATACGATGTTGGATCCACTATAAATTCACTCCGACATCATGATGTATTCTGCAGTAAGAACTTGACCAACTTCATTTTAGAGTTAAACATCCCCTTCGTCACAACAAGACAATCACACAGAAATTAAAAAGTTAAAGAACATCATTTATTTCCTGGTACTTAACAATATTTTGTTTGAGAACATGCATTATAAGATTCAGAACTATAAATTCACTATGCTGGCATATTGACAAATTAATTTATTTTGAAATTTGAACCAAGTGGGTGATATTTTGAATCTATTTATTAAATTCACTTCATCAGCTTCTTCATTTTTCTTTTTCCTTCAAGATCATGACAAGATGCAGCTGCATAAGTTGCCAAATTTATTATGACCTCATTATTCTGCAACGGTGCCCCCAATAGGGACAATTAAGCTCTGACAAAAGCATCAAATGGTAATGATAAAAGTGAAACAAAATGGTGACCTGAGGATCTCGAGGATCAATTTTGGTGGCTTTCCTAAATACTTCTTGAGCCTTCTCGCTCTGCTCAAGCTGAATATATATGTGTCCAATAGCCTGCTTCCAAAAACTAAATGCAGTTAGCTCTCTATAACTAAATTGGAAATCGCTCAGTGAACAAGCTATAGGATAGAGACAATGACCAAAATCCCGACACCTGAATTCACATATTAACTCACTTTCAGTGTGTCACAATTTTCTGGTTGAACCTCCAAGACTTTTTCAAAATTAGCTAAAGCACTTCGCATGTCTCCCAGTTTCAGTTGTACCTGCCCTAAACCTAGTTCGAGCAAGAAGATAAACTCAATCAACTAACACAGAGGATACACAGACATATATATATACATATATAATTGCAACCACAGAAGAACTACACCATTCAAAAGAACCAAAATAAAATAAAATAAAACGAAATTATAGTCACTGACTAAATTTTTAACTATGCATTTCAAACAGCTGAGACTAATTAAATTTTCTACTTAATCTGCTACTAGTTTCTTATCAATTGGAATGAAAGTAATAACATCAACAGACCAACTTACAGCAGAAAAATAAACCTTATTAATACTAGCAATTTCAGGAAAAAATTTACTTATCATTACCTAAACAAGCAGTGAATCAGCGAAAAATGTCCATCCCTATAATGATGACAAGTTGATTATTTTTTTCTGTATGCATTTCTTTGACAGATAACAAAGTATAACAACATAAAGTAGAACAATCTACATACCATAATATGGTAAGACAAATTCATGTGCATTACTGCTTTCTTTAACAGATGCCATATAATACATTCCTGCTTTCTCATAGTCCCCCTGAGATAAAAAATAACAAGGCTAATGATTAGAACAAACTAAAATGACAAACAAACTTCTATAGGCATTAAAAGGTTTAATAAGTTAACTGTAAATTGTTCCCAACATGAGAAATCATTAATCTCTTGGAAGAGAATGAGAGATAGACAAAAGGCTGCAAGGCAAAAATTAACACACAGACACAGATAATACAGATTACAGAAGCATAAAAGGATTAGGTTAAGAGGCATTGCGGTAATCAACCTTGCTGTGATACGAGCGGGCCAAATTGTAGTAAGAATGTGCTTTTGTTGGGCCATGCATAGTTACAGCAAGTGCAGTTTCAGTCAATTGCTCAACTAGGAAATGCTGGCCAGTGAAGAAGAAATGATTTGCAAGATAATTCAGTGACATAGCACAGTAAGGATAAATCTCGAAGGCTTTCTGCATATTCTCCATCCCATTTCGGATACCCATAGCTGCAAATATTTAACATGAGATGTGAGTAATTTTACAACTGTAGTACAACCCGCACAAAACTCGTACTCAAGTTTTCCCTCAATCAAACTTGATACCAAGATTAGCAAGTATAAAGAAATAAGAATAAATTAACACAGGCCCACTTGACAGAGATGCAATTTGACAAAGATAGTAACATATGTATCACAATGCTTATATAATAATATAAAGGATCCACTGGGCCATGTGTGGATAAGTTCCTACTATAAATTACATTAACCATTTATGAATAGTGTATCAGCATATGGCTGTGTATTTCGTATCGTAAAAAATGTACATATACGCAAAAGAAAAATTTAAGAAGAAACAAATATTTGACAGAGAGATGAATAACAGAAAAACAGAATGTGAAGGACATAACATTGAGGGGTTATATTTCTAGCAAATCTTTAGCCTCACATTCTATGTAATGGAACCGTGCAACAAAGAAATTAAGTTTTCAATTCCTAGATATTCCCCTACAATACTCATATTTTCTCAAATATGATATTCCAAAAATAAAAAATAAAGAAGTAACTGTTTAAGAAACCAAACCAACAAAAAGTTACAATGCTACACAACCAAAGTCCTTGGGCACTGGTCCTTGTCTAACAACTTGAGCCTTAATGATTCACTCATGAGCCACAACTACAAGGGCTCAACACATCTAATGGCCCAATAACTAAACGAAGCAACTTCTTTTTGTAAAATGTTCAAGTGTAATGCAGGTCAGAATCCATATAACGAGAAATGGAAGTACAAAACTAACCATCATTAGTTTGCAGATCACATATTCCAAGAGCTACAAGAGCTTCAACATTTTCTGGATCTAACTGCAATTAAAAAGTCACCAAATACTATTTTATGGAAGATCAGCTTGAGAAAAAGTACAAAAAAATAAAAAATAAAAAAATCAACACAGTCAATGCACGACTGTGTTATCAGTGTGCTTGCCTGCAAAACCCGATGAAATGCTTGCTTTGCCTTCTCAGGACGACCTAATTTATACTGGCAAAGAGCTATACCAAGTCTTACAGATGGAGCCCAAGGACACACTTGCAATGCTCTCTAATAAAAACAACACAATCACAGAGAACGTGTGAAATGTAAGTATTCCACAAATTCATTAAAGCATCCGACTACAGGTAGGACCAAGTAGAACAACCAAACCTTGTATAACTCCAAAGACTCGGGATATCGGCTTCGGTTAAAGTGGACGCATGCCTGTAAACAACATAAATTATTAAGAAATATAAGACCCACTTGTCCAATGCTAGCAATCAATGAGCTCATGGTGCTATGGCATATCATTCACATCCATCCTAGATTAAGACAAAGATACCAGAAAAGGCAACAGAGTTACTTCATAAACAGCTTTTAGGGTGCGATTGGATATAGATTATTTAGGGTTAATTTTGATTGATTGGATAAAGTGAGTTAAGAGATGAAAAAAATGATCTGGTGGAAGAATGGACTAATTTGGAGTTTGTGAATGGATATGAGAAAAAATCTAATGATTAAAGTTGAAGTGAAAGTAAAAAGCAAAATAATGATTGTTGATAAATGGGCATGGGTAGAACCCATCCCCAAAAGCTAGCTCAAAGGGAGAGGGAGCCCAACCCACACTTATACACAATACCAGCCCATAACTAATCAATGTGGGACAAACATAACTTCTAACATCCGCCGGGTCCAAACCCAACATCGCCTCCAAATAAACAAAACATGAGTGCTCTGATACTATGATAAATGGGCTTGGGTAGAACTCATCCCCAAAAGCTAGCTCAAAGGGAGAGGGTGTCCAACCCACACTTATACACTACCAACCCATAACTAACCGATGCGGGACAGACATAACTTCTAACAATTGCAAATAGTTTGTAGTCAAAAATATGTGAGTGGATGATTAGTGAATTTTGTTGAAAAATGTTAGTAATAATTGGTTTTTATTATTTAATTATATTGATAATACTGAGAGAAAAGTTGGATTAGATGCAAAGTGGATTTTGAGTAAAAAAAATTGTATTCAATTGTAGTTCCATTCAGAAAAAAATAAAAAATATCCGGCGAGACAAAACCAAAAAAGTTTTATATCCAAAACCTTTAAGAGTTCCATCTAAAAGATGGAAGCGTTGGAGAAGGTAAAGTACCATGAAAGTCCTAAATACACAAATCACACATTCGAGAAGGACAAATTAATGTATCGGTATACACTTCCATAAGTCATTGCAGGAAACTTCTGGTAACAAATTTAATGCATTGAATATTTTAAAAGTGAAAGTAAGCAAAAGGGGTGTATAAGTTGTAAACATCAAACCAGGAGAATTAATGCAACTGATAATCTATCCTAGTCTTAATAGGAAATAATAGTTCTTCTACCTGACCAAGAAGAGCAGACACATTATCACGGTCTCCGTCTAATACAATCTTGAATGCATTAAATGCCTGCTCGAGGTCTCCCTTGGCCAGTAAAAGCTGACCTGCAAGTAGAGAGAACACAATGAGCACCAGAAAAACGATTGGTCAATGATACAAAAGGATGAAGAAACAAAAGGCAAAAGGCTGTGGCAGTTAATTAGAGCTAAGTAAATTATATTGCTTGGAAGATGGCTGGATTGCATTTATAGCATTACTTCATTAGTAAACCTGTAATCATTCCTCGAAATTCAGTAATAATTTGATACTGTCAATATGAATCATGTTTCCTCCCCCATTAGCAAGTTACATAGACAACTGCACATATTACCCTAACATATCAAAATGTTTCGTATTCTGTCCCTCTCACCCTGGCACTGCCTCCCGCAAAGAGATTCATTTGCGTACTTTGCCATCCTCCCAACCCACGATGAAGATAGGAACATAATCCAACAAGATGCAACTTTAACATCTCATTCAAGAGTAGCAAGATATGATCTTGCACGGACTCAAAACTTGCAAACCTCAAGATGTCCACTCATTTTTGTTTCCCATGGTCCCATTTCCAAAAGAAACGTGGTAACTGAAATATACCACCGAAGCACACCAAGAGCAGTAAATAACATGAATAACTCTTTTCTATCATTGGATGAAAAACATGAGAGGGGAAACAACATGACAGTTTGAAAGGGAAAACATTGTAAACTATTTCCAAAGTTCCCAAATTATGCCCCTGAGAACAAGATTGGCAGATCTGGAGTCATTTACCTAAATTTACTTGACTTATTTATGAAGAATTAGGAATATTGCCATCTCACTAGAGCTGGCTACAGAAACTTTGCCAATCCAGTGACAATATTACCTTTCCCAATCCAAGTTGAAGGCTCATGCATGTCAATTCTTGATGCCTTGTTATAATACTTTGTAGCCTGTACAAAGTAGTCTTCCTTTTCTCTTTGTCTGGTCTCAATTTTCCCAAGATAACTGTAATATGCTCCTAAAGCATTTAAAATTGCGATCCTCTCATAACGTACATCTGCATAATATTCATCAATTTCTGCAAAACAATGAGACTTCACCATGAGTCGAGCTACATTATTTATAAATAGTCACAATCACAGATATCAAACCCAGTCAATTTTGTTTTTGTCAACTAAAATCTGAAAACTTGAATATTAGAGAAAATATTTCACCAGGACTGGATCCTTCCTCTAATATCTGTCGAAATTGTTCAATTTTCCCTTGTTTAAAGTACTCCCTCTGCACCCAAATACGCAAATTCATTTAAATTTAGTGAGTGACATAAATCCAGCATGCATCTATCGACCCACATTTGTATATCAGAGCACAGTAACACTTGGCACAAGAATATTCAAACAACTCTTAAATGATTCCCGGTTGCCACCATGCACAAAAGGTGGACACTCTAGAAAATATAATAAACCAAAAGTGACAAACGTCTTATAATAGTTATCGGTAGTAAAATAAATTGAACTGAACAAAATAAATAAATTCAGATCATGAATATATCTCGTACTCCACATCTTTTGCACAAGATAAGATTTGGCGGTAACAAAGTCAAAGTCCTATTCCACTTGTAATTTCCAAGTGGGTTCTTACATCTGGCCCAGGCAATTAATTTAATAAATATTTTGATGATGATTTCTTGAACCGGCATAACCAGATCTTAAATGTGCGCCAGGACCATACAAAAGTGAAATGTAGACACATAAAGTGCCTAAACATAAAACCCGCCAAATGAAACACAACAATATTCCTGACCTAGGGCTCCTCTCTCCCTCTCATTTTCCAATTTATTTTCCTTTGTTGTTTTTGTTGTTGTTGGACTTTATGTAGACAAAAACCTGGGTCAGTGTTATTAATGGCGGACGGCGGTACATAGCGATTTGCCAAAATTTCGCCATTGCGGCCGCCGTGGCGGTCTATGGTGCCGCCATGACCGCCATCCTTCACAAATTTTGCATGGCGGATTGTTAAAAATCCGCCACGCCATACGGCCATGGCCGCCATTTGATAACACTGACCTGGGTCTTGATATGCCAGCATATAAGACACTGCAGTGATTACTGGTTGGGCATATAAGTGCTGGCCAGGCTGGAAAGTGGCAGCACCTCAAGAAACAAGAATGCCCAGGTAGACATTCTGGTGATATATGACACCTTGGCTAGAGATGCAACTACAAAAATGGCAGTGTACTTTCATAACCTCTAATGCAGTACACTCTTATTCTTTCTGTTCGGTCGGCACAAAACTTAATCAAGTCAAGGCATGAATTCGTAATTCAAGATGATTAGACCAAAGAAATCTCTTCCAAAAGTAAATGCATAGTCTCGGCTGAAGTTGGGTAAGCACACGCTGCTGGTTGGGCCACATAACCCCTATATCCAGTTTTCTTTTCTTTTTTAATTCAAATCCTTTAACAAATTGGAGAAGTAGGGGTATGATAGGATCAAACCTCAGACCTCTATTTAGGTACCACCTCGCTTGAGGTGAGTGGTTAACCCAGTATCCAGGTTAAGGCATTTGCACTAAAACTTGGGCAGGGGGCTCTGACGGGACGGCTTGCGTGCTACGCTGCCTATCAGCAATGACAAGGTTTGCCTGCCTCTATTCTTCGTAGGATTCACTATCTCTTACAAACAATTCCTCACCATTCTTGACCACTATTGATCCAGTAGGTTGAGCACAATACGCCCCAATAACTCAGCAGAATAGACACATCTACGCCAAGTGAGCACACCATGAAAATTAAGAGTGATATTTTAATAGGAGACTGCTAATTTTTTTTTTTTTTTCCTACAAGGAGAGGCCCTACTTAAATCTTCAAACTTTTTGAAACCAATAATTTTGTAGATAATAAACACAGATATCTATTTCCAGATTATACTAATAACAAAAAAAGAAAACTCAATAGAAAGTCACATCCCTGGCAGACCTCTCATGAGAGTGCCTATACAATTTTGAAAATCCGTAACTCCTGTAAGCTTACTCTAAACTAAGCCTTTCACTAAAGGTAAGAGTGCACCTGACCTCATAACACTATTTGGATATCTATAACCATCCCACTCTCCAGTCTTATTCCATGAGCATCAGATAGTACTACAATTACATTAACCAAAAATAAATAAATAAATAAATAAATAAAGAATTCATTCAAATCAACTTAGAACTTTGCACCATCCGCTAGCCAAACTACCACCGAGAAGCACTTAAATTAGTGAAGTAGATAAGTATACACGAAACATCCTATCACAAACATTCTTCGACAAACTCCACACACACACACACAAGAATGACCACCGTATATTCACCACATGTTTGTTGCAGTTCACACACCCAACAAATTATACGCAGGGGCAAATAAAAAAAATGCCTTCACATAAGCTTACGGCGATGATGAGCCAGAGATCGAGCGGAGCTTGCTCCGCCTTGAGGATGTCGAGAATGTCGGTGGCGTCGCGAGGGAGCTGATCAAGCGCCACTCGGACTTCCTCCTCTGAGTTCTGCACCGGTATGAACACGTACGCCATGGCTTCAATCAATCAATTAATCCTAAATTTCTGAACTTTCACCACAACAAAAGCTCAATTGAATCAAATATGAAGAACCCTAATAGTGTCCTGGATTTCAAATGTAAGCATGTCTACAGAACTGAATGAACTGAGTATAGTGCTCCGATTGGGATTTTCGGGCTTGCCGGATATATATACACGGTGATTCAGAAAATTGTCGGGGGGTTTATAACATAAATACGATAAATTTATGGGTGGGCAGAAAAACAAAAGTGCGTCTCGAATTAGAATTTATGCAATCATAAGGGTGCAATTTGATATTATTACACTTGGAAGAAAATTTTTTGGTTTCTCAAAAAGAACGTTGGAGAAAATTAATTTTATTGAAGAACTAATTATTTTGATAACATAAAATGGTGAGATATAAAGATAAATAATTAATTATAGTGTGAGAGAGAAATAGTAAAATAATTATATGTAGTTTTAAATATAATAATTGATCGAGAGAAATATGTATGTAAATAAATATTTTTTATTTAAAATAGAAGATTTACTTTAATTTTTATTGGTTTAATAACATCATAAAGGAAAAATTAGATGAAATGAATAAATCTTTTAAAAACTTTTTTGTTCTCTTTCACAACTTTAATGGCTGACAACAATCTTGACTAACCAAGTAAAAATAAAAATATCTTATATTCAAATAACAGTAATATTTTGAATTTAATGTAGAAATAACTGTAATTCATCGATTTATAAATAAATAAGTATATGTGCAAGCAAAAAAACATACAAGTCTTAGAATATATGCTTCGCCCGGAGGATCATTCATGGGGAAGATCCTAACATGATCTACTAGGTCAAGCGAGAAAACGGGTAGGCGCGCGCTCCTTCGAGCCTACGCTTGCTCCTTTCAGATTATTCCCTTGAGAATTATCATTTTATGAAATATAGTATTTTTCTAAATATGCTATTATCTTATATATATTTTTGTTTCTAACATCAAATAGAATATTTGTCCAATAATATTAAATGTTCTTTAATATACACACGTTATATTCTCACCCTTGTTTTTGTTCAAAGTACAATTGATCCACGCGCTTAATCGACTCACAATATATTCGCACATGATATTTATTAAATTTATATATTTGGGGAAGATAAGTGATTGAAGATAATCTTTAAAGGGTGACTCTAGGTGCCACCAAAGTGAAGTTTCATTTTACAACGCTATAGTGCATGAGATGAATAGCTCACTAGGTTTACAGATTAGGTTCATTTTCTCTATTTAATCAATAAAAAATAATTTACAAGTAATATTCTAAAACCTAGTACAGATCCCGTGCGATGCACGGGGTGCACAAAATTAAGGTCATTTATCAAGTCTTATAATTATATAAATGAATAAAGAAAAATGTACGGGATATATATAGTACGTAACCTGTAATAAGCCAAAATGTGAACACAGGTGATGCACGGAGTGCACAATTTTAAGGTCATTTATTAGTACAGAGTCCGTGTGATGCACGGGATGCACAATTTTCTAGTATGTGTAATACAAATACATATTGTATGCACGAGACAGAAGCACTAAATGAGTTATTTGCACAGAGCTTGCCCGTTAAATAGCTCCTGAACACGGGTGCACAATTTGTAGTACGTACTATAAAATCAGAACAGATTTTTATACAATTAG